CGCTTACCTTGGGGGGAGTTCCGTTATGTTTGTGCACTGCAGGATGACCTTAAGACTGGCTTCCCACCAACATCTTACTTCAAATCAATCCTCTGCACCCCCACACGGAAAACCTTAGTTAACGGCAAATACTTATCCGCAATTGACGCAGAAGCTAGAAATGGGAGAGGGTTGGATTTAGATAAACGATTTTTGGATAGAGGGACGGGGCTTAGATTTAGGGTGTTGAGGAAAGGGGGGTTGATTTACATATATACTTTGGACTGTGGATTAAATTCACAGACATAATTCTCAGTTTATTCTATTTACACCCCCTGTTTGTGGCCTTAACCTTCTCCGTTCCCACTGGTCGGTCTATATTCGGTTAAGGTTAACTTTATTTTTGCTCCAGTCAAATTCCTCCTGCCCCCCAGCTTTGGTTGCTGGCTCCCAGTTCCCATTTGAACGGCGCGGGACCATTCCAATTAATTATTCACTCATTAAAAAAAACCGTTCCCACGATCTGCATCCCATCTTTTGAAGCCAAGTTTGCCGGCTCTTTTACGCCTTATCCATATACTCCACGCAAAAAACCCTTAAATACCACGGCTCTCGTCTCATACTAACCCACTTAACTTACTTTCCCAGCACCTTTGCATATCATGCCCCCGACAAAAAAACAAGCAGATGAGTCTTGTTTCTGACCTGGAAATGACGACAGTGGAATGAACAGGGGATGTGTAATCAAAACTAGGTATCTTTTCAATGTAAACTTCTCCAAAGGATTACAGTCGACTGCAAGACCTTCTAACCGAAAAATTCACAAGGATCATAATAACTAGCTCCAAAACGGCCTGCGTGGATGCACGAAAGTGATGAACTACGGGGTTTCGCAGTACGCCCAAATCACAGCATCGAGTTATTCATGAAGACAGAGCTCTGTCTGGTCTTCCTGCAAACCCAGTCTCTAGGATTCCAATCCTAAAGGTTAGCGACCGCAATTTGCCCTCTTCCCACCTCGTGCTGGTAATGTGGGGAAGCCAGTCACAACATTCTACCTCTGACCTTCCAAACTTCCGGGACCTCTCAGGACGTTAGCAGTTAATATATTTCGAAAGTAGTAGAGTTCCGTTCGGTTCAGTTTTATTAAGGTAAAGATAGGCAAATGCCTTTGAGTTTTGGTAACACAGTGACTAACGAATGCATCGAAGTGGAAAATTTCAAAAATGGGCTAGTTACATAATTGCAGATGAAAGGTGAGCAGCTGTCGGTTATTCGAAAAGAGCATACATACGCGATTACTCACATGTTATGAGTAGCATATTTACATGTGTAATTATTATTTTGACTTATTGGCGATGCGAATGACACGAGTCAGTAGGATGAACAAGAGCGAACAGAGCAG